AGTTTGCATGTGAGTCAAAGGCAGAGAAAGTGCTGACAGACTTTATTGTACCCAGGGCTACAATGATAAATTATAAGAATTGAATATCTCCTCTTTAAATAGTCACTATTTGAGAATGGCACAGAATCCATTGCTGGGATTGTGGAGGTTTTTTTTTCAGTATCTAATTGGATTGGAAGCCATATTTTTTTGGATGCAGTTGGGATGCAATAGTCCTGGATTGTAGTACTTAAAAAACAAGCAGCCGTACTACATCTGAGTGACTCACAGTGTTAGCCTTGAGTGACTCATTTACATATTTAATATGCAGATTGGATTTTTCCGCACTCCTTTTATACTTTAGCATATGCAGCAAGGCTCCCTGTGCCCAAGCGGTGGTGGAACAGGGCAACCAGATCTGGGATGTGAAGAGAGGGTGGAACCACCAGAGGGCGGCGATGAGACATTCCATGTGCCATGTGCTCACAAGGAAATGAAGGAATTGACTGCACCTGTGAACAGCCATCCCTATAAAAGACATACAGATAAGAAGTGGCTTGTCTATTTAGACCCTCACAAGTCTTTCTGGTGGTGAGACACTAAGGGTGTTGCAGGGTGAGATCACTCGCAACATTGGGAAGTAAGATTTAACATTTACAGTTTAGGTTAAAATAACTAAAAGTCTTCACATGCTGAATAGGATAACGGGTGTCTCCCTGGATGAAATGGTGTCCCATTCAGGGTGTAGTCCTGCTCTGTGACTAAAGACTATAGAATATACTCCATGTTGTCTTGATCCTCACTGAGAAGAAGCTCTTTTCTAGCAATCCTTCCATTTTCAAACTGCTTCTTCCAATCCAGGGTAGCGAGGGAAGTTCTGTGTTTCAGTCTAGAACTTGACTTCATGCAAACTCTCTGGACACATCTGTGTTCAGTTCTGTCTTGGTGGGCCCCTTCAGTAAAAGACTCAACAGGATGTGCTGGTCTTCTAGGACTGGGAGTGGGCTCTAGTTGGCTGAGGAGTCTTATGTTCTTTTGATTGCTCAGTTAAAAATATGCAGGTTAATTAATGTAGAATATGTACACACAGTGGATCATACCGAACTAACGTATTTTGCTGCATTCATATGTATTTGATAAAAACTAGAGAGAAACTGAAATAATTTTAATTGAAATTGGAAAACTTTTCCCATTTGTGTTCTGCTGAACTTCTGGGCTAATCAGCTCCCTTTGCTAATGAATTTCACTCTACTGCTCATTCTTGTTTAATTAACGTTTCTTTTCTCATGAGTGTTGTATCAGTGAGCGTATACATTAGATAGGGTGATAATTGAGCTGTTGAATTTGCCTTTACGAGCAGCAAATAGGTCGATGAGATGCTAAAAAGATTAAAAAAGTAAATAAATTAGACATGGGTTTGGCACAATAGCAGGGATTTGGAATAAAGCAACGCTTTTGGGGCTCTCGCTGTTTTTGAAGTTAAACACACTCCAGTGGGTCTAAGTGGAAAAGCATTTCCCCTGATCAGGAAGCACTAATGGGACACTTGCACAGAATCAAGTAGGAAATGATAATGGGTTGAAAAGTGACACTTTAAAGGCATTAATGACAGTAAAGTATTTTAAGTTCATTGTATTGGAGCGCATTAAAACAGGAATTATGACTGATGAGATTGGTAAGAACTTGCAGAGAAACCACTCTGTGGGACAGGGAACACTAGGGGGGTTTGAAGGAACCTGGTTTGCATGCACCGTTCATGCAGTACTGGAAGAGTTGCCGAATTTGTTGGGCAAACAATATAAAACAATACCAAAATGCTACTGTATCTCTCCCTCTTTTTCTATAGAATTACAAACCTATAGGTAGATTGTTTTTATTTTATATTGCTCAGCACTCCAAAGTAAGAATAAAGCCATCTTAGAAAGGCCTATTTAAAAATAAAGTCAAGCCACAGCTACTGACAGACCTGTCAATCAGGCTGTTGCTGTGACAACCTGAAGCAAATCACTCTCAGTTCATACCTGACCATGTAAGATCTGCCTCTGAGATATTCAGGTACTCAGCCTTAGTGTGTTCACCAGGTCTTGGATTTGTTCTCTGAGCGGCATTTTTCGACCACAATTGTTTTCTACTTTGTGTTTGGATTACAACCTTCTAGGTTGTTTGCTTGTGTCTTCACTGGTTTGGACTTCTGCTGTCACCTCGGTTTGGTTTTCAGATTGCTTTAAATACTTCAACATTGAGTTTTCGTGGCCTTGGTCTGTGTGTTTAAACAGCTTGTTCACTTGTCTCATCAGTCTCTACTTACCTGCAATAGAATCCAGTCTTCAGCTTCAAGTGAGTGCAGCTCATTATGCCCATAAAGTATAATTACTCCGGACTGGGGGAAGCTGATTTACTGTATCTAACAGTTATTTAACATTAAACTTGTTAAATAATAATGTTATGTCTCCACAAGAACATTATGATAAGGATTCATATGGGTTTCATAATTCTCAAAACATGAATGTAATCAATTCAATGCATTAATAATAGCCACTTTTCTAAAAGCCATGATTTAATTTAGATGTGTGACTACATCATGCATAGTTTATGTATTGCTGAAGTGTATTTTTAAACTATTGCATTATTCCAAAAGTGCTCAGTGCATATATACTGTGGTATTTTGCCAGTGGATTCAGATGTGCTTTCCTGGTGATCATATCTTTATAGAGCTGTCTTAAAGTGAGAAAGAGGACAAGTTCCACTCAATTAAGAATGAAAAAAACATTCTCTGACACCACAACTCAGATCCTGGACAAAGATGAGAAAAACCAGACACACTTTAATTTTATTTCCACTTTTACGAGACTGCATTGTGTTCATTTGATTCACAGAGGACCGTTGCCGATGTTGTCATGGCTCAAGCCATTTGTCAGCTGATAAGAATACGCACAACAAAGGAAGATGAAGGGGACTCAGGGACAGCTGAAATAGTACAGCTTGGTAGTACCGATCAGTCATTAATCAAATACAGATAAAGAGGCTGTTCATTACTGCAAATCTGACAGCTTTTTTGCATCATCAAACTGCAGTTCAGAAACCTTCCCAGGTGCCTTGTTGACTTGAAAAGGCCAGAGTAGGTCCAGTCCAGCTTGATTCTGTTGTAGGGTTTGGCGGACAATTCCGGACGGTAAGTACAGTAAAAACTCAGATTAACAGACATGTAGAGATGAAGTGGTGTCTGGTATTGCCAAATGCCTATTAAATTATGAATGACATTTTTCTACCCCAAAACACACTGTTCTACGATATCTATACAATACATATATTTTATTGTACAAAAAAATCATACTGTACAATCATGTTTGACACAGACAGATTAACAAACATGAAGCATCTCAAATACATCTCAAATAACCACCCTATCCCCCCCCCCAAAAACAAAAACAAAAACAAAACAAAAACTGGTTGGAGTTTTTGTAAGCAACTAGGGTTTCATAATCCACTGACTTAACCTGTAAGTCACCTTTGATATTCCTGAATTTTAAACTAATGTAGTATTTATGTTTTCCTTGTTTTATTATTCATGCATTGGTATTACTGATGTTATAGACAAAATTCCCTTTTAGCAGATTTTGTCCATTAAATCCAAGGTCTATTAATGAGAAATCTGTTAATCCGGAGATCCATTTAAATATTATTGTACCCAAAAAAAATTGGCATTGCATTACATAGGCATTTGTTCATTTAATTTGAAGTGCCAGACTGAGATTTAACTTTTCCACTGTCATCCACAATGCAGTGCTTAATTTGACCTTGTATCCAATCTGAGAAAAAGAAAAAAAGCAAGAATGTCACTGACAACCTCTGTGCAATCACACAACATCACCAGAGTGTTTGGGGCACTGAAAAGTGTGGGTTCAAAGCCCAGGAGCTGTACTCAAGAGTAAATGAGTACAAATGTACAGTAAGATACTTCAGATAAAAGCATCATCCCCCTAAATTACTACTAATAAAACCTATCAATAATGATCATATTTGCACTTAAAACAATAAATAAATTAAAGAATACACAACTTTGCTGAAGCAGTAACATCAAATATGTATTAAAGCTAAAACACTTGTTTTTTTAATATTTAAACAATGGTAACTTTGCTTCTCCCTCAGATCAAATATAGAAGAAATGGCTTTTGAGTGCAGGAGGTTCTGTCTGTGTCATGCTGCGAAGCCATATTGTGTTAAATTATGTTGTTGATCCCCGGAGACAGACATCAAAGACACAACTTTGTCATGCAAACAACTGCCATCCGCAAACTGACACCAATTAATAACATTGCTCCACAGCACAGGAGACTGAGCTTCTGCCCGAGCAGATTTTTTATACCTGAGGTCCAGTAGCATGATGACCCAGATGGAGCCACAGTGGGTTAATTCACTGAAGGAATAGTTCAGCAGTACAGCTGTCTTCTTTCACAGGCAGATTTTAATGTGGAATTGTACAGATGTCAGTGAGAGATGAGGGCAGGGAAACCAGAGAGCTTCATTGTTTAAACGTCATAAATCAGAGATAAACCATACAGGCCACTTAGAGATAACTGGGTTGTCTTTTCCTGTACAGTGCACTGACACTTGTAATAGTTAATGAGCAATGCATACTATTGGTGCATCGGAATCTGAAGGCACACAATGCACTCTTCTGCTTGATTGAGTGCTAGCTCTTATGTAAAAGCAGAAGATTTAAGTCTTGGATATTGGTCAGGTGTGTACCAGGGAGAATTCTGTTACAAGCAAGAATTTTATTTCATCTGCAGATCAATGTTTCTCATAACCTCCTGTGTAATCTGGTGCTTGTAACCTTTTTAAATTGTCTTTTCTTCTGAAGGGTTTGTTTTCCAGAAGCCTTTCACCTTATCTACAGTGTAGCGCAATGCTCTTTTTGTCCAGGTCCCGCCTGACCAGGAGTGTGCTGTAGAGGTGCTAAAGTTGTCTGTTCTGTGTAGAGCGTTTCTTCACATAGTGCTTCCTCTCTCCCTCCACAGCCACAGGGACCTGAAGCCAGAGAACTTGTTGCTAGACGAGAAGAACAATATCAGGATAGCAGATTTCGGAATGGCCTCGCTGCAGGTTGGAGACAGCCTGCTGGAAACCAGCTGCGGGTGAGTTCCATCACAAATCTGCCCCCTTTAAGAGTGTCTCATTAAAGGAAGCCTTGCAGTAAAGCAGAGAGTTTTACTTAGTCATACCTGATGCGCTCTCTCCATAGATGTTTCCACCATTAGGACTTAAAACGTGAGCAGTTTATTTATCCAATTTTACTTAGTCGTTTATCCAAAAGAAAAAATAGTTGAATAAGCGATTGTCATCATTGCTGTTTAAGAATTAGCCATACATGCATTACCATCGGCTCAGCACAGCAGCACAGCTCATTCAGTAGAGAAGGCAGAGTGAGCTGACTAGGGTGGGTGGGGTGTTTTGGGACTGAGTCAGTGAACACCCTTGGGGGGGTTTAGCCAAAATGGAGAAGGGGGACCTTGAGATATTTCTGTGCTGGAGCTGACAATTGAGCACGCCTAGAAAACATCTTTGTTGTCGTGTTCCTGAGAATATCGTTCATTCCACTCTGGTCCATATCCAAGCGATTCTGAGGAATTCATCCAAGCAGTATGACCTTGCACGTTCCTACGGTCTCCGCACACTCACAAAAAACCCCAGAAAATCTGCTTAGGTTTATTCAGAAGTTTACTGGTCTGTGTGTGTCAAGTGCTTCATTCCCAAGCGCTGCAGAGGCACCATCTGTATCTCCCCGTTTCTCACTCCAGTCGTGCTCACAGCATCTCGGAGGCAATAAATGCAGAGGAGCAGGTTGTCATTACTCACTCAGCACCAAGGGCGATGGCCAGTACTGGAGAAGCTTTTCTCAAGAGTGTGATTAACCTTGAATCACGCTACCGACCGTTGGACTTTGGGTTACCGCACAGAAGCTAAAAATACAAATAGTTACGTATCTTTCAAAACTGGAGCTGTTCTGACGGACGTTTGGTGTCTTCTCTTTCCCTCCAGTCATGACTAGGGGTAGGCTAGGTTAAGGGTAGGAACAGAAGTTCAAGTCACGACATCTGTTCGTGTGAACTTCATCCGTCTCCAGGCATCATCAGGAAACAGACGTGCTCTCTGTGCTCTAGAAAGAGCGGAGTGCAGCTCAAAGGCAGGCAGCTGCTTTTGACCCCAGCATGCACTGCAGTGACGGCAAGTGTTTATTCTCTTGGGCTCCCAAGTGGTTTTATGAGTAAAGGCGCTTGAATGCGTCCAGGTGTTGGCGGTTCAGTCATACTTTAGGTTATTGCCTAAGTAAGTCATTAGCTGATTGTAATTGGGAGACTGCGGGACAGGTATCTCCAAGGCCCAGTTTAACAGGCATGAGCAACAGATGTGATCATTTGTCTCATGTTGGAACGCCAAAAGACAAAGGTTACAGAGTCAAGAAATGTGTAATAATGGTGGATGAAGATTCTGTTTCACTACTAAGACTGTTTCTGGCCAGCTGTGTGTTATTAGCCGTGTTTCAGGTACAGTGAAGAACAGAGGCTTAAACCATTCCTTGGCAGAAGCAGGTTTCAAAGACAGGAATGAGTGAAAATAATCAATATCACCATTGAACTCGAGGTCACAGCTTCTTCCCCTCTTGCCTGTAGACAGTTTAATCTGAAAATGCTTTCGTTTTGTAAAACTGGGGGCTTCGTGACCTGCTTCTCCTGCGGGGTGTTGGTGTTCATGATGGTGATCCTCTGGGGGCGGCTGGAGCCTCTCGATTTGTGACTGTGAGGCAGGGAGACGAGGCGGAAGTGCTGAGGAGCGGAGCTGGGGAGACACACGCGTAGGCGAGATCCACACAGATATTCTGATCCAGACCATTGTGGATGGGATAGATTACCGATTATGCAGATGCTTCCAATCTGTATGCAGTAGAGAGAGGCAGTATTCAACACAATGTGACAACAGAAGATAAGTGAAGGAATGGAGCTGCTTGCTAATAGGTATGCAGATTGCTAAACAGCTTCCATCGGTTACACGAATGATGGCTCTGGCACAGTAACGCAGAATGTCATTTGGACTAACAGGCATCAGCATCCATCTTTATTAGTGCCCTCTGTCTTTTTCGCTGGGTCTTCCAGTCAGTACAGTCTATTCTCTTTCATGCTTTCTTTTAATAGCTTTCAGATTGTACTTTACTAACTCTCCTGCATCTCCCATTAATTCCTTTTCACCCTGCTGTGCTGATGACATACAGTATGTTTCTTTGAAAAACTTGGGGCTCTTAGAACTGGCAGGGCACATGTAGAGGCAGACGTTTTTCTAAATAAGGTGTCTGGTTCTTTTCCCAAAGCTCAGACAAGAGAGCACAGACCCCTGGTGCGTTCTCATTTATACAAATACTTTTTGCAAGACTCGCATTTTGCTGGAAAGTACTCCTGTTGTCTTCATGTGATTCAATGCTGAGGAATGAAGGTAAGGCCAGTGAAAAGGAAAAGGATGTACATTTAGGAATACAAATAGGTGACACTTCTTCACACGGAGGGTTGTAGGTGTCCAGAACAAGCTGCTAACCCATATTTTTAAAGCAAATTTCCAATGATTAAGAAATGTTTGTATAAAACCCACAGATTAATTAGCCTGCTGACAACTAAATGAGCAAGCTGAGCACAACAGCTGCCTCCTGTTGGACTGGTCTGGACTGGTCTCACATTCACACTTTGTATTTTGGTTATGTCTAGACTCATTTACAGAGACAGAGCGACCTTAGAGAGACCTTTCTACTTTGAAAGGTACTACACATCGGTACTACAGAAGCTTCTATTTGAAACACTCTGTCGGAATTGAAATGACTAGTAATACCACACAAGGAGAATCAATAAAACCTTTAATCACTGTAATTCTTGTGTAAGAACTGAACTTGAAAAGAAAATGGAATGAAAATCAGTCTGTAATATCTTCTAGTTTGTTTGGGACGGTCTTCTGTTACAATTATGTTTACATTCAGTATACTCAGAGTTATATTTCCCTCAACAGACTGGATATACATGTATAAAACACAGGAACATATTACATGTTGTGAGAATGTAGTCATCTGAGTAAGAATTTGCGTATTGGCCACTTCTCTGTGTAAAAGGGGACAATATTAGACATTAAAGTGTGGTGTTAACATCCAGAATTGTCAGCCGTTTACTTTCATCATGGCTATTTGTGTATTTTACATAATAATGAGCACACATCTTAATGTAGGTTTGAAAGCTCATAGTCTGATTGTTCAGCTGCACGGCAGGGTTCTCCAGATGAGGCCCGTTGCTGCAAAATCAGTTTCAGTAGCGCAGGTGTTGCTGCACAGTCTGCTCCCATTGGACAGAACGCAAACAATATGCTTTAATATATCAAGAGAAGTGGGCTAATACTCCGTTATCAGTAATCACAGCTAATCACTAGGACCAGCCTTAAAGTACTGGCTGGGACCTTACCTTTCATACAAAACATAACTGTACTATATGAAGCTCCATGCCAGTGATACTGTATGTCAGATGCTTTTTCAGAATGTTCTGTTAGTGCATGAGTTCCTGTGGTCCTTAGTTTTCGTTAATCATTGTTTGTAAACTTTCTTGACTCCTTATCTTCCCTACGAGATTATTTAGCTCCCAGCTCCCGAGTCAAAATAAATGGAATGAAAGGATCCTCTAGCGCGTGACATGACGCTACAGCATATTGTTTGCTTGGTTGTGAGGTTCGAAGTCTGTTCAATAGAAAAGGCGGCTTCATTAGATCATTGTTATCCAGCGGGAGTACAGCTTGAGCAGGCTGGGTGTGCAGTCGGCTGCTCCCCTGGCTTAGTGAGCTGCTGTGTATTAGTGTGGGGGCAGGACTGGGAAGCCCTGATCGAGAGGAACCGTGCTGCGGTGCCAGCGCCCAGTTCGCAGCGGGAAGCGTCTCGCTTGCCCGTCTGTACAGTGCAGGAAACAGCCCCTTGCAGAGACAAGGAGGACAGGAAGTCCGCTGTGACGGAATGAAGGGGACAGACACTCCTGACACTCTCCTTCACACGCCGCTCGATAACCAGTGTTCTGCATGTCGAGCCGTTAGCTTGGCTCTCACAGCCTGTGTTTTCAAGGGAGAAAAAAACCTGGGGCCATTATTGATAATCCCTCGTGCTCGGCCTCCCTAAGCACAGATATGACAGTTTTTAATTAAACACATTCATCTCTCCCCTCTCTGCACGGCCCTCGCTGACACAAATTTGTGCTGTTTTGTGTGGCGGCATGTTTGTGCCAAGCTGTAGCCATAAAAACAAGGGGGTGTCTTGCTCCTCTGTGTCCCCAGGAGTTAGAGCAGACTGACGTTCCTTTTTATTTGTTTAGTATATATTTGCGAGGGTTGAAGTCTATTCGCTGCAGTCATGTCCTAGACTCGGCTTTGAATTGTATTTCTGCTGTTGTTCGTTGGCTTTTTTGTCACCTCCCTTGCTGGGAAGGATGAAAAAGGTGGCTTTTTCCACCTTGGCATTACACTGAAAACTGTTAATAATCTTTCTCAACCATGTTCATGAGAGACTTAAGGTACCCAAGAACCTACTGTATCTGCTATAGTAAATTCCCAGTGTAAATAAAAAAAAAAATACTGCAAATGAAGAGCTTATTTTTTTGCAGATTCTTGTTTTTCAGACTACTAGGTGACAGTAGACTGTCCAATTCCCTCTGACACATGTATTAACCTTTGACAAAAGAGCTGAGTTTAATATATAGGCTTTCCACCCTACACAATCTGGGATGGCCAGTCGTCAGTCAGCTCACTGGTACAGCGGCTGTGATGGACACAAGGTGGGGCTGCCCTGGCAGAGGGGCCAGCTGAGCCCCCCTGGACTACCCCCACAGTGAGCCCCAGAGCAGGTGGGGCCGCCCTGCCTGGCCCAGCGCTGCTCGGCCAGTTGTGTGCCACCTCTTGGAAAATCGGAGTCATGTTCTCGAGTCAGACTGCTGGGATCTGAAATGCGGGACTCACAGCTTTATTTCTCTGAAGTTTTTATTTTATTTCTTTGAAGTTTAGAAGATTCACACTGTCAGATTTGAACAGCAGGTAGGGTTTTAATCCCAAAGACAGTCTTAATTGTTCTCCCTTAAGGACACTGCTTCTCTTCCACCCGAAGGCCTGGTGTTCATTATCAGGAAGCGCAGGTTTGGAAATCTGGGTTTAACTCACAAACCTGAACTCCTCTACTGCAGTCAGTTTGATCTCCCCTGAAGTGTCCCAGCTAGAATCCAACCAAATCCTTTATATCGTTAAAGCCCTGTTGCCGATGCTGTGCTTCACATTCCCACTCCTGGCCTCGTGCTCCACTGCTGAAGTCCCTGGTGCCAGGGGGTGATGATGGAAACTCAGGGTGCGGCTGATGATGGAGTCAAAGCCTTGTTGCAGGACAGCACCATTATGTCTCTATTTTAGGGGTCCGTGAGGAGAAATTGCAGGGGAGTACCACTGAGGGCAATGGGTTTGGAAATAGTTATTCTCCTTGTTTATATTAATGTATCATATTTTGTTGTGCTTGGGAAAATGAGGAAAAAAAAATTAAATTACTACTTCATTATTGCTTATAAGAGGGAGTTTGCTGAAGCCATTGTAGGAGACAGCACACCGAGTTCATACTCCTCCTGGGCTGTATGCTGTACATATTGTGATATTTCCATGTCAGCACTTCAGTCCGTTCCAGTGGAGGGCACCTGGCTGAAGACAGCATTACTGTCGGCTCGCCCGAGAGCGAAGGGTACAGCCTGCGGGGACCGGTTCCAACTGTTCCTGTACTGTTTCATTTTCTTCTAAATTATTTTTATTTTGTGTCTCCTCACTGTGGTGGCGATGTGATCCTGGAAAGTGATGCTCGGCAGGTTTAATGAGGTTTAGCAAACAGCAGCAGAGGATTGATGTCCTGAGTAAAAAACGCCGCAGGAGTCTCACTGACGAGCCCTTGCTTGTGTGCATCTGTCTGTGCCAGGCGTTTTTTTAATTTCCTTCATTTATAGCTCAACAATTTCTTAATGCAGTTTTGTTCATCAGTGATGCCTAATTTTAGTCTCAAAGCTGTTTTTTTTATTTTCCAAAGGAAGATGATTGTACAGGCAGCAGTGAGATCTGACATGGAGAGAGTTGTACAGTTTTTCGTATTGCTTTTCTTTATGAACCGACGTGAAAGGCAGCAGATTTCACATGGGGAATACTCCTCTTGGATCTTGACCAGTAAATGAAATAGATTGTATTGTTCTGGAAGATCTGTATTGTTATCATAAGATTAGTAAACATGTTGGAAGGCTGGTGTCCTCTAATGTTTCATCATTCCATTCTTTAAATTTGTTTTGGGCTATTGTGTTGCAAAGATAATGTATTGTGTAAACACTCAGAATCCCATCCATGCAATCTCTGAAAGTTGTTTGCATTCCATTTATCCCATTTATCTCTACTTTTGATTTGTCAAATGCTCAGGTATTAGGTACAGTAACTGCACTTCTGATGACCTAATAATCTGACAAGTTGAGCGTTAGGTACAGGTGGCTACAGATAACCTGTTTGGGTGCGTTAAAGTAAGACAGCAATGCATTTTATTGTAGAGTATGTTGGTCTATCTGGGATAGAAGTTAAAAATAAAATGAAACAGCCTCTCTATATCACTGTGCACTAGAGGTGTTTGAATTGAAGTTCTCGGGGCTAGCCCTTTTTATTTCTGATGTTAAAAACACGGTACCGATTTTTCCAATTTTGTTTTCATATCCTTTACTCTACTGCATGGGAATATTCTGGGAAGCAGTTTTGACTGTTGTCAAGATACAGATGTGTCTGTGATGAGAATGGTTGTAGGGCAGTGCAAGGGAAGCGTGCAGCGTGTCTTCAGCACGGGCGAGTGCGGTGTCAGTCGGTGAGCAGCAGTGGCGCTGAGTCTGGGATGTCAGGACTGTGCTTCTGGGAATACTGGAAAGGGCAGAAAGCGAGATGGCACGCTACTAGAGTGCATTTAAAAAGAAAACCTCAAACTGCAAACCTCACCAATATTTTTAAAATAGACACACAAATGTTGTTAGGCAGGTGACTGAGTGAAAGGCAAAAAAGATTTTCATGGTATGCAAATAAATCTGTAAAAAATACATTAGAAATACAGGAGACTGGTGAATATTAGCTTTTTTAAAAGTGAGAAAAGGGAATAAATGCGACCCTTACCCCTGACTTCCTGCATCTTGCAAGGCAGATGTGGTATGTAAAGGAATGTCAGTCCCTGCATTCTGAAGGTGTCTCTGCTCTCTACTGTCAAACCTCCTCAAGCACAGTGCAATGTTTCACATAATCAACACTTATCTAATAGCCTGCAGACTGACTGTAGTCAGGGCTTGATTAAACATTCAAATCGTCCTGTGTTTTTTTAATTAAAGGTCAGGCATTATTCTCCCGAAATGGTAACAGCCATCTTTTTTTTTTATACAGAACTCATGAGTGTTGTAAGAACTTGAAAGCCTGGCTTAAGACAGAAAAAGAGGTTGTTTGTAACAAAAGGGCTGAAGTTAAGTTTTCAGGTTCTTGGTGACACTAACAGAATGTTTTCCTGCTTCAGCACAAGAAGACAAAACAGCAACTTGCCTTTAAATATTTTAAAAAGGTTAAGGAATTTGAATCACGAACACATGTTCTTTGACTAAGTAGCTTGCATTTTCAAATTAAATTAGGAATGGATATGGTTTGTGTGCTTAATATAATGAATGTTGACTAGCATAGCTCAAACTTGGTTTGCACACATTAGCATAATGCAATATGACACTCAAAATAAAGAAAAGTCATGTTTGCAAAAGATCTGTTTGCCTGTTTCCAGACAAGTGATGTGCTGTTGAACTTAGACTACACTGGGAGCCAGACTGGCTCAGCTAGTGAACATAATTCATAAATACATATGGTAATGATGAGGTTATTAGCATAGCGTGTTTACAGATGTTTAATGTGAATTATGTAATAATCAAAATTCAATGTTTTACTTAAACTGAAAAATGATGTATGTGAACCATTAAAAATTCATCCTTCTCATCTTTGCAGCAGGAGGAACAATGCTGAGCCCACAAAGGTTTATTTAGAAAATAAAGTTAGGAAATTGGAACGCTGATGGTGTCCTGGGGCACCACTCTGTGTTACAGATCATTGCTTTCAAACTGCCACCTACAGCATGACGGCAGGTATCCTGTCGTCTCTGACGCCTTGGATGATTTAGATTTTGATGTTAAAAAAGTAATCAAGTGCTTTCCGTGTTTTAATCTTGAAATCAGAGTGTGAAGATGCTTTGAGGTCTATGCAGAACTGCCAGTGTTGTTATAAACAGGGACGACTGTGGCAGATTTCCCTTCCAAGTTGTGGAAGTCAATTCCGGAGCTAGCTCAACAGTCTGAGCTCAACAGCCTCCTCTCTTTCCTCGCCTTTCTGTGTTTTTCAGGAGCAACTGAGAGTCTTTTTGTTCTTCTCCCTGTAGGTCCCCACACTATGCCTGTCCTGAAGTGATCAGGGTGAGTACAGCCTAACGAACTTTCATCCAGGAGCTGTCACTCCTCCACAGATGCTCCCTGACTGAAACTTCTTCTGCCTTTTGCAGGGGGAGAAATATGACGGCCGGAAAGCAGATGTGTGGAGTTGTGGGGTCATTCTCTTTGCACTTTTGGTGGTAAGTGTCAGCTAGGTGTTGTTTGTCACAGGCCCTGACATTCATTGACATAAGCTCTTCACCTTGGCCACACTAATAAGTGAATTGAAGAGTGCCATTGTCTTCATACAAATGTGTAAAAATAGATTTGAATCAAGCCTGACGGATTTCTGTTGAAAGCAGAGGTGTGAACTGCTCTGACCTCTCCTTGTCACAATCTGTTGCTTCACTCTTAATCAACACAATTTGTTTTAAAGTTGTAAGCAATCTGTAGGCTTGAGGTCTCCCAGCTGAACAAGGATCTTATTCATAGAGATTCTGAGACCAAACTATTAATCCTTACAAAGTACATTAAAAATAAGAAAAGGTGGCAAAAAATGTGCTGAGTAGGCATGTTGTTATACACAACAATATAATGATGAACCTTAATTAGTTTTAGCTGTCTGAAGGGAGCTCAGAGCTGTAGCATGTCTTAAATTGTCTTCTGGTGTTTTTTATTTCATATGGAAAATCCAAAAGTACCAGTTTTGACTTCCTTGACATCACGCAGAGACTGCAGTTCCATTTACAGTAGATATTTAATCACCGTTTTAAATACCCTCCTAGTTTGGATGTGCACAGTGAGTTGTCTGCTTCAACCTTTTCACCAGCTCAGTGTGAAGGGACACCAGGCACACGTTGTGCAAGAACATGATTAGACAGAGGCAGGTTTCAGGGGGCTGCTCAGGTGCCATCAGAATCCCTTGATTGAATTACTCAGTTGTAACTCAATCCGCACCAGTTATTAGTCTGTATTTATGATACTGGAAACCCTGATATTATAGCTGAGAGCAGAAAGCATGTAAAGTCCTGTTTCTGAGACTATTAGATGCAGGAGCTTCAGAAATTTGGTTTTAATAGGCTTAATCTGAAAGAGCATGAAAATGAGGAACGAAAGCTTGGAATAGGGTGGGCAATGTTTGGGCCTGTATCAAACACATTCTGAAAGCTGCAGAGTGAGTGTTTATCCTATTAAATGGTCTTTTCCCTATTGTATTTTCAAACATTATATATCTCTGCTACCCTCTGAACTTTACATTTCCAAGATTAGACTGTTTTGTGATTTGTGACACCCATTTGAGATATCAAGAGCACATCTTTAATTGTGTGTTATATACTAGCAGTGGACTTTAAACTGATCCCACATAGCCATTTCCATAGGATCTGGAACATGTAGAATGCGTGGGTGAGGGGTCATGGTCAGGAAGCGTGACCGAGGAACTATGGTTAAGGGGCGTGGTCAGGGAGCGTGACCGAGAGAGTGCGGACGGGGCGTGGCCTGACGAGGGGCGTGGCCGGGGAGCGTGACCCAGAGAATGTGGTTGGGGGGGCATGGTTCCAACAACTGTTGGTTCCACATTGCAAGGGGATGTATTTATACACAAATTAGTTGGAGATATTATTATTATTGTTGTTTTTGTATAATAAAATAGCTGGAGATTCAGAATAAAAAAATGAATTTAGCTGTTAACATGATTACTCTGCCACTATACCATTGCGGTTAAGTGAAAAAGTGGAAGAATTTACAAAAGAAACATGTCTGTTATCTTTAAAGACTCACCAATTAATATCAAGAAATAGGTCTGTGGTATTTCCTATTTCATTGTGTAAATTAGGGGAAACAAATACAGTACCCTGTGCTCAGAACTATTTAATCTGACTGCTCCATGCCGCCAGTCTGCACCCCTGTCACGCCAAGCGCCTCCCTGCCCAAGAATAGCATCCAGAGGTCTGGCACGCACAAGATCTCCCACCGGCATCCATTCATTTACTAAAAAAGCTCTGCGTCATCCCCCACTATGAAATATGCATGTAGAGCAGGGAGCCGAGGCCAGTACAGGCTGCAGATGCTAAAAATACAGGAAGCCAAACCAGGAGGGAAGAAAAGACAGCCAGGGAAGATGTTTCACGTTCGGGTGAAAGCTTGACAAATTTCTTTTAAAAAAAATCCTCTTTTTAAGGACTTCATATTCACATTCCTGTGCTGGAGTTGTGCCTGTATGATCATCTCCTCTTCTGTTTCCCTCAGACAAGTCCAGTCACTCAAGTCACATGTCTGCTGGTGGAGCTCAGAACCGTTTGGAAACTGTGTCACCTGTGCCTCAGCAATGTCAGAACGCACACTTCCCAGCACCAGACTACTCAAGTCTGGTGTCTGAGGAGAGATGAATGCTCCTTATAGAAAATACTTTATCCATCCATCCATTTTCTAACTTCAAACAATTCAGGGTTGTGGGGGAGATGGAGCCTATCCCAGCAAGCAATGGGCACAAGGCAGAATACACCTGGACAAGACACTAGTTCATCATGGGACACACACACTCACAACTCACAACAACCGACCAGTATGTCTTCGCCTTGAGGGTAGAAACTGGAGTAGCTGGAGGAACCCGCAGGAAAAACATACAAACTCCACACAGACAGACCCCAGGTCTGCAACTGAACCCAGGGTCCCAGGGCCAACCGCTGCGCCACCTTAAAAACTGTATATTCAGGTTAAACGTTTTTTTTCTGATTAGGAATGAATAATTTGTCCTGGGTGTCCTGGGCCCTGTACTGACCTGCCTGTCTCTGCTTCTCCAGGGCGCCCTTCCCTTCGACGACGACAACTTGAGAAATTTGTTGGAAAAGGTGAAGCTCGGGGTTTTCCACATGCCACACTTCATCCCCCCGGACTGCCAGAACCTGCTTCGCGGCATGATAGAAGTGGACGCCACGAAACGACTGACGGTCAGTCTAATCCTGAAGGTGCCTGCTTGCTCTGTGAGGGAGAGTCATCATTCGCGGCACCCCAAGCAAAACCTTTCAGTTGAAAATGTAGTGCAGCACTAGGTGGCTAATGTCTTTTGTGTTCATTTTCTATTCATGTGCTCATCAGTATTGTTGATTGTGCGACTGACTGTTAAAGCGAATGCTATCTGCACTAGCCTTCAAAATACATTTCTGATTGAAGTCTTAACTCTGTACAGTCAGAGACCCTATTCATTCCATGTAGCCTTATTTTGGACTTTTGGGCTTTGTTTTAAGGTAGTAGAAGCAGGATGCTCTTACGTATAGCCTATATTGCTATATGTTATTTTTTATCTTTTAATTAATTTTAACATTTTAAAAGTTGTAATTTTCCACTTTTCTTATATTTTTGTTCTTGGCTGCTTGAGCCCAGGTGATCCCACTTCTTGTAACAGCATTAGAAAGACATGAAACAGTTCAAAACAGTACAACTTTATGAATCCCCTGCTCCCTCTTTAATGATGGGGTAGGCCTAAGCGTACACTACATGAAATTAATGATGCTAGATTTTGATATGTGACATTTAAAAACCATTCGGAGTTGTCATGAGCATGTCATCTGGGGCAGCAGTAATGGGTCCAGAGGATATTAAATTTTTATCGTTGTGTTTTGTGAAGGTGGTGATAATGATAATACAGTTTTATTTATGAGCACATTTCAAGAAACTCTAAAGCGCTGACAGCAGTGCAACTTTCACACAAAAATGCTTAATCCTAAACCTGCCATGCGATCTCAGCTGTTCTGGGAGACTTTGCTTCTGAAGAGGAAAACGTCTTCCAGGAAATGTCCCCAGAGGAGGGGAGGGGTTCTAATTAGCTTTGCGCTATGCAGAGAACCTCCAGGCTGTCGTTGCCTGTATTTCCCTTCCTTTTGGTAATAAAAGCCTGTTTCATTTTCTCCAAAGCAAAGTTGCAACCTAAGCAGACGTTGTGACAGAGGAGCTCCTGTAATCCGTTCTGTTTCACATTGAACTGGAGTGACAGGCCCTGGAGGTGATGCCAGGCTCTCCTTGGATGCGTAGCTCATGACCTGTGATGGCATGGCTTTCGCAGAGAGGCTGGCAGAGAACTAGTTTGCCCGCCTGTCATTTCGCAAAGTGAAACAGACACAGAGCTTGCATGCCCAAACCTGCTATCCACCAGGCCCCAACTAGGTGGGAGAAGAGACCACTGTTTCCTTTAGCAAGCTGTGGAAGTTACAGGCCTTGGCCGCAGGAGTGTATCACACATAATAAAAGCAAAAGCACTTTGCAGCATTGGGACCCAGTGATGCCGCTTGGACACCCTGAGTGCCTCCCAGCCTTCTGAGTCCCACCAGACTATGCATGTCAACATCCGGGCATGGTTCCTGTCTTGAATTCACACGGCAGCATTTGGAAACTCCAAAGGAAAACTAGTGTAGAGCAGCCTGAGGAGTTCATGAGCTGGAAAAACAAAATCTTAGGAAAGAGAAATCGTTCCTCACAGTGGAGCCTGAACACTGTCTTCTGCATTCTGCATGTTTTCTTTTCTGTGCTCTCATTGAAAAAAAATGTAGATAGATTAGGGATTTTACATCTGTGTTTTAAACAAAACCTTGTCTGTGTCTTTTTAAATATATTTTGTCCTCCTCACCACATCCACTTTCTCTCTTCACCCTGGGGTTTGGCATATTTTTATTATTTTACTGGAATATCCAAAGTGATTGTCATCTGTCCCACAGTAGAACACTTACAAAGGCAGGAGAAAAACAAGTCAGGCAACAAGGTATGAGAAACCTTGGCTGTCACTTGGTTTCTCTGAGTAATGCCTCCCTACACAACACGGAATGCACTCTGCAGAGAAATATGACAGTTATGAACCAACCTGCGGCATCATAGCTGCATTGTTTTTTCATAAAATAATGTCGGCTCGTGGCCTGTGTGCTCTGTGCTGGGGA